CAAAATAACCTACTTTGTCTTTTCTCTTGCTGTACCATTCACCCTCCAAAACTTCTGTGTTTTATAGAAGACTACAGTAACCACTACCTGCTCCATGTGATATAGCAGTGCTAAACCTCCTTTTCCCCAACCTCTTGCTGCTCACAGCTAATGGAAGACCTAACCAAGAAATAATTTTAAGGCATATCTACATTAAAGAAATAAGATGTACTTTAGGAAACCCAGAGCCAAGTCCTGAGACCAGAGTTGGTATGTCTATACAGTTTAATGCTAAATGGATTTATTTACTTGTGTCCAGAATGCCTTGGAATGCCCCACTAGGTCTATGCAAACCCCACCTGACTAGTCCCTGGTCCCTTCACAGATCTTTGCCTTATGTTTCCTTTCATTTCTGTTTTGAGGTCAGTATGAGCACGTGGTCTCTCTTACCAGCATAACCATACAAATCAGCTGTGACTCTGGAAAATATAATGTATTCTACAGCTCCATTTACTTGTTCTGTTGTTGAGTGTGTGCCTTATACCTTTTCACTTGTCTCTTTATCCTGACATGCCCTTTATTTTGATTTAAGCATGTGTTTATACTTGGAAGCTATTAAAATACTAATGATAGAGTTAATCATTATTATAACAAATACAGTCTATCTCCTGTTTTGCAGTATATGAAGCAATCTGAGAAGACACTTTTGAGAGTTCTGAAATTAAAGAAATTTGTCAAAAACGTACAATAATCATGACACTTCAAACAGAAACCCTATTACTATACTTAATAAAATTGTTTCACAAGCTCAGGGTGTGCAAAATGTTCTACACTCACTATGAATATTTTTTAATATTTTGTGGTTTTGAATTGTAGTCCACAACATGGCTTTTACATAATTTTTTATTTTGTATTTTAAGGTTGCAGCCCATGTGACTCTCATTTTTTTTTCTCAATATGTCAAAATTTTTAATCGCTTTCATCCTGAAAGAGTACTCAGAGTGCATGAAAATGCATAATGCCTACAGCCATACTGTCTCCAGCTGTGATCTTGTCAGAACTTATAAGATAAGTGGGTCTGTACTTGAGTGGCAGGGCTCTAAGAGCAGTACAAGTGAAAGTTACTCTGCTAAAGCAAGGGGTGGCTCTTCCCAGGGTGCTGCACCCTGCCCTGCTGCCTTGTGCAGGTTGGGTTTGGTCATGCAGGTCAGCAGACAGAGCTTGTCCTCAAAAGACCAGGAGTCCCACAAAGCTGAGCACAGTCTGCCCGAGGGGCAGGCCGAGCTCCCACCTGAGCACTGTGTGTTGCTGTAGTGAGGTAGTTGGGCTTCCATGGGATTGGAAACCAGCATTGCTGCACAGCCTGTAGGCACTAGAACCTCAGAATGTGCTTGTCATTGTTAACTTGCTGCAAAACGTTGGTAGTCCAGAGATGCTGAATTCCAACCTGGGCAACTCTTCTTGCTGAAGCCTATTACTTTCAGATGACCTTGTTATTGTGCTTGAATACATTAATTGCCAAACTTAATTTACTTCTTTGTTTTGCCTGTGATTTGTTACAGAGTGACTTCTGCATATTGCAGAGTTTGTATAAATCAAGGTTAAAACTCCAATGAATTTTGGAATACCTGTTGATAAACAATACTGAAGAACACAAGATATTTATCATTGTTAGTATTCACTGGCTGGGCTAATCCATATTCATAAATAATTCCTTGAATATGTGAAGCACTAACATTTATAGTTTAGATTTGTAATTATCTCTAGGATTACAGACAAAAACAACATCTCCTTTGCTCTAATACTGCTCTAACCCAAGGACAAAAGAGAGAAGGAGACAGGCAGCTGGCCCTGTGCTGTGCTTGGTTTGTAAACAGCTCAAGTGCTGCTGATCACAGATGCCACAGGAGCTGTGCACACACTGCTGAACAGACCCTGTCAGCCCCTGAGCTGAGGGTCCTGGCTGGGGCTTTTCACGACAACCACATTTTTTTGATACCATGCCTAGAATAAAGTATGTGCTAAGAAAGGACAATTTCATCAGGAATAAGGTTTTGGTGGTTTGTTTTCATTTTTAAACTTAAACATCTATGATCCAGGGTTTTGTACTTGCAAAAAATATTCCATTCGCTAGATATTGTTTCCAATCTTATTCTGTTACAAAACACGATGTGAAATATGGACAAGAAAGAAAGAAAAGGTAAATTATTAATAATTTTAATTGTTTTCTGCACACTGACAGATTATAAATGGCTTATCAACAGTGGTGCAACTAGATGGAGAGGCTGACACCAGCTCACGGCAGCAAATTTTTACAGAAATGCAATTTTAGCAATACAAGCCCTGATCCCAGCCACAGTGTTAGAGGTAAGGAGTTGGTGTGCAAGCGTCCTGCTGTCCCTGCCAGCTGAAGGCTCTTGAGCAGCTAGAATCATCTTCCTGTGACTATCAACTTCACAACAGCTTTTTGTCACAAAAATCATGTAAAGTTAGCTTAATAGCATACAGAAGCAGGTCCAGAATATTTTAGTCCCATATTTTTATGACAGTAATGCATGTAATATGTCTTGAAAATGTAATAACACTTCAGGCAGCAAACCTGCTGGCTGTGGAAATGCCTCTGACACTTTAAATACTCAGTATCATTAATTCATATTAGGGGCAAAACCCTCAAACCCCTTCTTTAAATTATATAGCAATTCTGAAATTTAAAAAAAAAACCAACAACCCACAAAACAAAAAATAAAATAAACCACCAACCCCCTACCCAGACCCCAGATTAATTGAATAAATGCAATTTGTAGCTACATTCTTATGCCAAGCTTCAGTCTGGAACATTTTAGAGCCAAATGACAAGCTCATGAAAACAGGAATTTTAAACAAGAACTGCCATGACTGTCAAGGTATGACTGTGAATGGTTGTCCTGAAACACCTATTGAACCCTTTTCTGAGCCAATAGTAAATATCAAAACCAGTCTATAATAAACATTTTAGATAAGATCTAATAGATAGACATTTGGATTTAATACTTTAGAGATTCAAAGTCATCGGATCAAATTTGTTCCTGGTGAAACAAATCTCCCAAATCACTCAGGATAAAGCTCTTCCATACAAAGTTCTGTTTGTGAGGGTCTAATTAAGATATTTCCTTACTTTAGCTATGCTGTAAAACTTGCTGTGGCCAGATTGATATGGAAAACATCACATCCTTTCTTTAAATTTCACTTTTTACACTGCTGTCTTCTCTCCTTCTTTCTAAAAAGTTAGTGGAAAAATAGGCTCAAAAAAGCTGTTGCAGGTTCTAGAACAGTTCTGAAAGTCAGCAAACAACTGAAATGTGCAGGCACTTCATTTGCCATGAGAAGAGTTTGGTATGTAACTAACTAAAACACCCCAGATATCACTTGCTATAGACAGAAAAGAAAATAAAACCTGGCCTAAATGGAAAAGAATATGGGAATTAAAACAGATTGGCTAAAATGAAGGGTACAGAAATGATCAGGAGTTGTATGGAAATAAACCTCAAATGAACATAAAGCATTGAGAAAATGAAACATGCAGGATTGAGCACTCTCCAGCCCCAAATTATGAGTGGATTGGGCAGGAAATGACAGGCTATATCAGATTAGCTTGGATTCATCTAGGTTTCTTTGATAATGGGTTTCCTAACCCAAAAGGATCTAGACTAGCTGGAGTCCAGGAGAGCAGCACATGAGTCCATTAGCTGAGATGAAGAAGGTGAGGACTGAAAAACTAATTGTAAGAGAGCAAGGAAAATGGATTAGTATAAGATAATGTATCATCAACAGAAGATTTGAAGGCTAGACAGAAATAGAGACAGAGTAATAGAAACAGAATGAACTTGCTATCATAAAACATCAGGTCTTAATGGCCTAATTAAGAAACCCAACAAATCCACAACTCCTGACATAAAATAGGAGTTCTTCAGTGTAAAAGTGACTGAGAAATATATGGATCTGCAATCTGAATGTAAGATAACAACAAGCTGCCACAGTGACACCTGTGAAAGTAACAGAGACATCGCCCACTTTATTAAAAGCAGGTAATGCTTGAGGGAAGAATACACAACATTAAACAGCTTTGACTACAGTATTGGCTATAATTTCGCTCAAATGAAGGGGACTGGTGAAGCCTGACTTCTACTAACAAATGAAAGCAGAGAATGGATAGAAGCCCATTAGTGTCTATAAATACATCACAGGGATAGATGCCAGGAAGAGGAAAGATCTCTTTGTGTGAAAATAGAAGATGCTGGCTCAAGAATAAAGCAGCATGAGCTTTCCATGAATAAACCTAAAATTGGATGTCAACAGAAGGTTTTTAACCAGAGGAATGACTTTTTGTGAGTAACAGCCTCCCTACAGGCACAGCAGAGCCAGTCCCTTGCTGAGCTCCTTGGGAGCAGTGACAGGAGCCTGCACTGACTGGGAGTGTAACTTCCTCACCTCCAGGATCCTCTCCAGTTTTCTTATTACTTCAGTGCAGGTCTGGTGAAAGCCTTGGAGTTGACATAATAAGGCAAGACATAATAAGGACCTGCAGACAGAAGCTGAATGTGCGGTCTCAGAGATTTACTCTTGTCACTGCAAAAGTATTAGCATTAATCTGCCTGGCACATGAGAACAGTTTTGTAAGACTAACAGGAGATGTATTTGCAAGATCTCTGACTCCCTCAGACTTCTGAAATACAGTATCACAGGCACAGCACTGCTACCCAAATTCCTTCTAATACTTCTATTCCAATTCTAATAACAGGAACTAAAGCTGGGGCACATCAGGGAAGCTCGTTGACATTGACAAAAGGCAGAAAGTTGAGAAATACTTTACAGATCTAAAAATAAACCCAAGCAGACATAAGCCAGTGAATTTTTTCCACAGACCTCTTTGTTTTGCTTTCACTGCTTTTTCTTTTTGGCAGGGGGGTGGAGGAAGCAACCAGAAACTCATGTGTAAGGGAATGGGAATTTGATAAATGGGAGGAGAAATCTTGAAAGTGCCACTAAAGGACACACAGCACTCCCATACACCTTGCATTTCTGCTTTTGGCTAAGTTGCCATCCAGATACTCAATTTCATCTTTTTATTAGAAAATAAGGTAAGTGGATCTTGATTTTTCTGACATAGATGAATGCTACAGTGCAGCTGGTTCAGTCTAGGGAGCAGCTCCTTCCAGTCTGCCTTCCCATTCACAGGAGAGACTTGTGTAACCTTCCCATACCCTGCAAGGGGCTTCCATCCTCATGGCAACTGCCCTGCTGCCCCACCCACCTACCTCTGTCCTCTCCCACCTTACTCAACTCCCCCTTGGGTTTGACCCATATCCCAAAAAATAGCATCAGCACTGGAAACCACACCCTCATCTTTGTGAAACAAAAGGGACCCTAGCGGCTGCAAATTGAAGGTTAAGGAGCTGTGATTTAAAAACAAAGTACAAAGACCAACAGTTAGCAATTTGCATATAATTAAAATTATATAATGCTCTTAACAGAAGAAGCTTCAATACAAACAATATTTAGAGGAATAAAGTATTAATTTGATATGTGATGAGGAACTAGGTGTATCACATGTTTTCAGTTGAAATATGAAAATAATTGGTTTTTGTTATGCAAATGTGCAGAATCCCACTTCTGCTAGACAACCCTTTTTGCAACAAATCTTAAAAAATAAAATATAAAGAGAATATTCAAATATATTATATTTTTATTATAAAAGAATCCTGTATCTGTGTTACAAAGACAACATGCTACAAAACTCACTTGATTTTTTCCCAGATCAGATGCAGTTGCCCTTGGGAGAGGCACCTGCTTGCCTGGCACCTCCCACTGCTGCCAGGTGAGCCCTGTCCCTCTTGGAGCCATCCCCCCCAGCACCACTGAATTTACACGTCCCTCCACTCAGCCACCTCACTGCCCCAAAGTCACTGCACAGTACCCTCTGTGGCTCTCCCTGCCTGCTAATCCATTCTCAGGGCTGTCCTTTAAGAATTCCCCCAAGGCAAACAGACTGCAGGCAGCATATCCTGGGCTTAATCCTCTGAACTAGTGGGAAAAACAACCACCATGCTCACCCACTCTGCATTTTGCCTGTTGTTCTTCAGGGCACAATGACAGGCAGAAACACGGGGAGAAAAATAATTTTCTTGTGCACTTCTCCCTTCCATTTCTAGATGGCCTTTATTTGTGGAGGGGAGCAAACTGCAGACTGTCAGAAGAAAACCCCACCAGGGCATTCTTTCAAGGGGAATTTTTTTGTTTGGTTTGTTTTTCTCTTAATCAAAGAAACCTAATTCACATAGAAAGTATCTGTTTGCTCTTTGTGTCTGGAAAAAAAATGTAAGAATTACAATGTTAACATTTCCAAATGGCAAAAAATGAATTTCAAATAGCTGGCAATGACAATGCTTGATAAACACATGCTGGCTGAAATTCATTTCTCTTTCACACTCACTATGCCTGAACCCCATATTAACCATATGCTTTTGCAGATTAAGTTTAGTTCTGTGCCTAGTTTATAAGCTTCTTTGTTACAATGCAGCTATAATAACCTAAAGTTCCTGAAAATTTAAGCTAAAGGGAAAAATAAAGCTAACTGAGATTTGCAAAATCATACAAGAGACAGAGCATTTGTCCTGTATAATAAAAGCCTGCCAAAACTTCAAGTAAGCATTTAGTAGTGACAGTATTTTGCTATGAATCATACTGTCTGTTGCTGGCTTCAAATCCATTGATAATTTTGTACTTATTGTACAAATTCTGTGGTTAATATTATAGAAAGTTTAATCACACAAAAATGAAAGCATGATAACATTTCACATTCAATTTCAGCTTCAGCACATGTCAAGAATTCTGAATATGTACCTTGTTTAGAGAATCAGCTTGTGAAGCTGCTGGTTCTTATTGACTCGGGTGACACTGGCTGCTCTCACCAAGCAGCTGGACCAGATGATGGCCATATGACTTTCCTGTTTGTATCAACTTGTCAACAGCAACACTTGCTTGCTGAATTTTAGTTAGAGCCCTTTGCATTATATTGCACGGGTTGTAATTGTAACTCACAAACCACCGGGCCCCTAAATCACTCAATTAATTAAAGAAAAAACTTCCATGCAGTTTAAAAAAATCCTTATATCCAAATGTATTGCACAAATTTGCATGCAGTAAATAAATCTACTACCACAACCAGGATTGTAACTGGGAGTTTTCATCTTAAGCCCACTTCCACTAGGATTCCGTCAGGCTCTTGGAGGGGTTCAGCTGGGTGCTGGCAGAGCCTTCCCTGAGACCTTTCCACCTCAAGCCAGAAACGGGCAGCAACACAGAAGAGATAAATCACATTTGTAGATTTCACCCCACTGAAATCTTCCACCACTCCCTTTTAAACTAATTTTCTGGATCCAATTCCCCATGACTCAGTCCTTGCTTGTACAATGAGAACATCTTTCTGGCCCATTGCTTTGGAAGGCAGAAGGAAAAGTGCAAACCTCTTTTCCCTCCTCCCCTTCCCCGAAGCATACCTGTGAGTTTTCTAATGGAACATTCTTCTTTTGAAAAATGGAGCTTTGTCCAAACTGAAAAGTTTTGAAGAGCAGTGTAATTTTGTTTACTCTTCAAACCTCGATTTCTTGCTACTTCAGCTTCTCACAGGCTGAGAAGCACCAGGGCCTTGGAAGCTGTGGCTGAATCAGTCTCACCAAAATCTATTGGACTCTGAGCTGGTGGTGGGCTCACCAGTCAAACAGCCAAAGCTCTCAGGCACAAAGTGAAGCTGCACAGTTAGTTTCAGACACTTCTGTTGCACTCCCCCTAGATGACAATGTCTGTTTCTAGGAAATTAAGTTTCACTTTGATGCAGAAGTATTTTTGTTTTTGTCTCTGTACATGGAAATCTCAACACTTCAAGATCTTTCATCATATAAGCAAGCACATAAAGTCATGAAAAGTGATCTTCTGGCTATCTACTCTGCAAGGACAAGGCAATAGGAGACCATTTGCTTGAGAAGTCTCTAAATAGAGTCTGAGGACTTCAAACACCCTTCCCTTCTGTCTGGACAGAAAATCTCAAAGCATCTATGAGGGCTGGGGTGTCTATTTGCTCTGCCTTTTAACAGAAACTGCTGCTGACATATTAGTCTTCCAATGGAATATATTTCCATGTAAGCTTTTTTTTCTCAAAAGTGCAGCATTCTCAGCTCTATAGACAACTCACCTAGGATGGCATTCTCAATACCCCATCATTCTTGACATCTTCAGGAAAGATGTGTAAAGCCATTACTGTCACAGTGCATGTTACAATTGAGACAGCCATGACACAGACTACCATAACACAATTCCAGAAAGCTTCAGCTCATACCAAGTAACACCTTACCACTCCAGAAGGCTGCAAGCATCTGCCCTTCTTGTTCTTCAGCCCAGCCTTTTATCCCCTCATGTTGATGCCCTGCACCTGTGTGCCCTCTGCTCCCTTTGGTGGTTGGTCAGTGCCCTGGGCACTCCATGGCTCATTGCTGTCAGTGCTGCTCACCTGCTGCTCACAGCTGTGCCCACTGGGGATGAGGCTGGACCAGCCCCACTCCCATTTACCACAAATTGTGTGCCTACAATTACAGCTCAACTTTGTTCTGAATTCACTTTCAAATGTGACTGTACCACACACGTAGCAGCCTTAGTCTGTGCTCATGAAGGCCACAGGAAACATCCCATCATGCAGTAGCACTCATAGGCAAAACCTGGCTAATTCAGTTTTGTTCCCTGTGTACCAGAAGCTGGACAAGCTAATTTGCACAGCTAGCTTACCTGCACATTCAAAAAGGGACCTGGGCTGAGGGAAGATTCCCTGCCAATCTCTGATTTGCCTCCCTGCCAGCACAGCCATTATTTCTCACATTATTTCTGTTACAATAACATCTAAGAGCTCCAGCCCTCAGTGGAAACCCCACTGTTACCCCATACACAAACACACAGCAAAGACCAGTGCCCTTGTTGCAATGGAGCCTGGCTACTGAGCTTGAAGCAAACAGATAAACACAGCTTTTCCCTCATATATTGATGGTAGCTCCCTGCTGGCAAACACAGAATTCTGGGAAATTGAGGTCAGGTCCTCTAGCTGTTTTTACTAAGAAAAGGAGCATATCATGCTGTAGTAAGGTTAAAGACAGAATGCAAGCAAGGGAAAAGAAGTAATCTGGCTTTCCTGCTTATGAACTTGAAAGGATTTCTGAGCACTTCCTCCAGTGTCAGGCTAGTGCTGAATACTTGCAGGAAACAGATAATGTGACCTGGCGGCTTTGCTCCCTGTGCACTGCAGTCAGCCAGCTCTGCCAAATGCAATGCCATGAACATCCTAGTGGGAGCTTCATGTCCACTTCTGGAGTCCCAAGCTTACTATTGACAATATTACAAAGCAAGACACCTAGGCAACCTTTTGATGTGATTAGAAAGGAGGTGCAGATAGAGCTAAGTGTGAAACAATGACCAATCCCCACACTATTTATTTTGTATTGTTACTTCAAAAAATTCTTTGGACACGTTGTCAAAGCTGATCCAGGAAAATACTCTCTTGAGCACTCCTGAAATTGACTAAGTGACAAGATCAACTGATAGCCAGGAAAAGCTTTCAAATGACTGCAAGTATTCAGAAATAGAATAAATGAACTCTTTTCAGGACTGTTTTAAACAGTAATACTTATATCTAGACTTGTACAAATACCACTGTGATAGAGTCCTTCACCAAGAGAGCTTTTTTTGCTTAAATAGGATTGTTAAGTTTATTTCACATTCCATGGCTGCTTGTTGCCCAAGGCCTTTGCTGCAGCCACAGAGACAGTCAATATTTCTACCTGATTACAGCATGTAACACTTGCCTAAAAGAAAATCTTCTGTGGCAACAAGCTCTGTGAAAATGAAGTGTTGAATCAAACATCTAAAAAAATATCTGCATCAAACATCTGAGTTTAGTAAAAAACCTGAACCACAGGTCCACATAAAATATAGGGAAATATTGACCACACTGTGTCTACAACAGTACAGAACCTGTTTAAACCTTAAGGGAAATCAACACCTTCCTAAATTAGAGGAACAAGTGTCATCAGGATGGAGCAGAACACTGAAATAGGAATGACTAGGAAATGGAAGGAAAATTATTGCTCTGTTGACCAGCTTGCAATTCAGTGGACAATACCACACAACACCACAGCCCATAGCATTTTGGCTTTATTTTGTCAGTTTGGATCTTTGTCAGATCAGAAATTGCCAGGAACAGTTTCTTCTTTAACGTGAGTCTGGACTTGCCTCTCTACTCAGCACTAGAACGCTGATCCTGTGAACACCCCTAATTGCTGAAGAGTTTTCAAAGTAAATAGTCTTAGTAAAAATAGCCCACAAACCAAAAGTGCTTCTATCTTCCTCCTTAGAAAATATAGTTTTGTTGGAAGTTCCATAACTTTATATTCTGACATTATTAATTTGAAGCATTCAACCTTACAGTGATGCATTTCAAGCTATTAAAAATTATTATTATCTCAAAAATAATACTTTTTATTAAATAAATATATTTTTTCCAAAGGGGGGGAAGCCTTATGATCAAATAAAAAAAAAGTGCAAATTTTAAACTTTCAGGATGTCCCAGAGATGTTCTGTCAGTGGCAAAAACACGCACAGAAACTTCAGTCTATCTCAGGAAGGACAGGTTGTCTGTAACGTGACATTGTTGCCAGATGCACTCAATGTCTTGGATGCCAGTCAGGAATGAATAAGTATGAAGTGAAAATTGTACAGTCTTTCATATTCTTTCATCTCCTTACAGGTCAGAACTGAGACCTGCACTGTCACTTCACAGGCAGTTATCTGCTTTGTGACTGAAAAGGGGATTTTATTCTCTAAGATTATCTGTTGGGCACCTTTACAGGCAACAAAGAAAAAAACAAAACCCAATCATACAGCCTAACCTTCTTATCAAGGGCATTCATAAAGTGGAACAAAAGCCTGACAGCTCTGCAATGGTTAGTTTTGAAGCAGGCTTGAGTAACTGAGACTTATGGGAATTTGATGAAAATTCTGAACATCTTTTTAGAATCCAGCACCACCTGAAGCAGTGGGGCTGGGGAGGGGCAGCTGGAGCTGCTCTGCTCCATGCAGTGCAGTTTCACAACCCCACAGCACCTGAATTCCCATCCCAGATTTTGAGTGGCTGATGAAGAGGGTTGATGCACTCACTTCTAGTGCTGGCTGAACCACACCAAATCCATTGGGCTGACCAGCACAGCCAACGTGGACATGCCACACTTGAGCTGCATTCCTCACCAACAGCACCCTTAGGAAGTATTAATTAGTTTTCCTTTTAGTACTGAAGACTGAAAACAATGCTAGAGGATGCCCTCTCTGTTCTGAAAGAACAACAAAATCTCATTCATAAATTTAAGGTCTGATCATCATTTTCTTAAATAGATACAGAAGTTACTGCAGCAATTTTGACACTTTCAAGTTTTATTCTAAAACTTTTCTAAGGGTGGTAATTTTTTCTTAATATTACTGCATATTTTCTTTCAAAAATATTTTGCCTTTGTTGCTGAGAGAGGAATACTAGCTGATAGTAAGAGAAATTGTTGCCTCCAGACAAATTGGCATTCGCCATTCAAGCAGAAAAATAAATTAAGTGCAACATTTAGGCACTCTGCATTAGGTTGTTAAAAAAAAAAATCAACAAAGGGAAAACAAATGCTATGTCAACTATTGACTGTAAAAACCAAATAAATAAGAATTTCTCCAGTACTTGTACAGCCATGTAATTCACTACATGCTTAAAAGTACGAAGCTTCTAACAGTTTTGTGGAACTAGCAGTCAACATTACATTTTTTGGATAGAAATATGTGGCCTTGGTAAGTCCTAAAAACGACACCTGTTCTTTAATTTTTCAACATGGTATTTAAAATACCTATTATAACTATAATAGTATTACTATTAAGAATATTAAACATGAATGTGATGTTTTGCCACAGTCTGGAGGACTATATTACTCCTTTACCTTGTCTTTGGAGAAGGTTTTTCTTCCTGAAGAATTCAAGAGTGCTTACACATTTTAAGATGCAGAAAGCATCTAAGATCATTTCACGCACCAGGTGAGGCCATCTCTGAAGGAGAGTGTCACTTTTACTTTCCTCCAATACTGTAGGACAGGAAAGAGAATGGAAAAAATTTTAACAGAATGAAGTTCACTATTGAGACAGCTGTCATTTGGCAAAAAATCTTAACAGCATTTACTATGGAGCACATGCTCCTTGTCACTTGTACCCCCTGAACAACATGTATTGCTATTGTCAGACATTTTGCAACATAAAAAGAGGTTTTGGTAAGCTTCCACCGTGAAAACATTGTGAAATTTGTCGATAATTCATGTAGTTTTGTGTCTATCAGTGCTGATTTTCAATCACTATCACCCTGGCAGAGCCATTAGCATTCTTTAAGGTTCCCTCAATCCCTACATTTGATTAACTTGCATCACTAGGAAATTTTTTCACCGTTCTGCTCATCGACTTTCCCCCATTATCAATAAAAACCTTGTCACTCCACACACAAAATTATAGCTCATCCCATAGGTAATTTCTGCCCTTCAAACTGACCACCTATTCCTTGTCAGAGCCAAGGATTTCCTTCATCACTTGACTCCTACCCAGGGCTCTGGTCTGAAGGTGAGCAGTCACCAAGCTGAGGGTCCAACGCAGCAGGGGCTGGTACCACTCTTACATGGATTAAATGTATTAATTGCAATACTCCTCCACATTCTTCCTATATCTGTCCTTCACAGTCCTTCCCCTAATATGTATGACCTTGTGCTTCTCAACACACCCCTGAAATCTTCTATGTACTCCATATTTCTACAGGGTCATATCTGTGCCTCCCCCAGAGGATATTAATTCACCACAACAGTCTGGGTGAAGCAATAGCCAAATATTCCAAGGTAGATTGCCAAGCTCTGAAAGGGCAAAAAACCTGTGTGATACATTGGTAATACACAATTCCACTGACAAACATGAGTTAGTGAACAACTGTTCATGCATTTAGCAGGGCACACAGTCCCTCTTACAGAGCATAGGATAAATCAGAAAAGAGTAGGGGCTTTAAATATATTTCTTCTTAGTAGCAACATCAGCAATTCAATCTCTGAAAGCTCAGGTTAATACTCTTTTCTGCCGAGGATTTAGGGTGGGATGCACCCTTCTTTCCCATCAGGAAATCATTTTAAGAACAGAGAAGTGAGTACTTAAATATAAGTAGCTCCATGCACTCTTTCTGCCTGTCGTCAGCTCATGCACACAGATGAAGTTTAAAAAGGAGATGGTGATGAGGTGAGCTAAGGAGAGGGGAAGAAAGAAACAAAGGCGACAGTAGCTGAGCCTTCGTGTCTCCAGAAAAGAAAGGGGCCAGAATTAATGACTCAGGAGAGAAAAAGAAATCTCAAATTTCATGACCACTTCTCTTTTCCAATTGTTTGTAGGGTCCTGAACTAATAAAAAAAAAAAAAAGGTCTTAAAAATATGGTAAAAACACCCCAAACTGCAAGAGTAGGGATTTGATTTGTTCTCTCAACCTGCTTGCCAAGATCTGTGACAGTGTGGCTATACTTGCAAAGTCCAGTCACATTTTACCAGGTCAGAAGTATTTATTAAGCATTCAAGATTTTTTAAAGGGAGACAACAGGTGGCAAAGCTGCACCTAGCAGAATGCAACATTAGTATGCGAGGAATTTGGATGGATGCCACTTTTGGCATGAAATGACTGGAAGAGACTTGCTGAACTAGTGAACCATGCCGATGCAAGGTCACTGTTGTGTTAAAAGGTTGCCCTGCCACTTTCACCAGTTTTCTTTTTTAACCTGATGTCACCATTCTTCTAGCACTACCTTTTGCTGGAGGCCTGGGTGATTTCTCCACCACTTGGCTGATACCTGGAATACTGCAGACTTCCTCTCTGTGCACAGGTATACAGCCGTGCTCTACAGAAAGGGTCAGGAGTCAATGAACCCCGTGCAGCTGTTAACTCTTTCCTCTTTTGGTCTCAGGTAATTTGACATAGTCCACACAAAACCTCCCTGTATCAGGGAGAGATTATTTTGAACCAGAGCAGGTAGAATAAGTGTTAAGCTCACACTGCAGCTGAACTGGAAATTTGCTATGCTTTTTTAAAGAGAAGGGTCCAATAATTTCCCTGCTTCAAGGTGATTAGCCTGAAGTAATGCATGGTGAATGACAAATGTTTGGTTGATGAATAATTTGACTATTTTGTTTTGCATGTAAATCTGACCTTTATAGTGAACATTACTGCATTAAAAAGGTTCTGCATAATCAAAACACTGTACAGCCAACATCTGTTATTCAGAAGACCCGAGGGGTAGAAAAAAAAATCATAGCAAATCATTTGACCTAAATATGTTTTGCTCTGTGATATAAAGTGTACTTTTACTGTCTGACTTGCTAAATTCTTCATGCCTTCGTGTGACACTGTTTGTTAACAGAAGTATGAAATTTGTCTAACCTTTATGTTTAATGTTGTAGCTAATTGTTATTCTTTAATAGTGTATACGTCATTCGTCACACAGTGAACTGTGGATGCTGAAGACAGATGGACCACCAGATGGACCCTGGGAAGGATTGGTTAAAATGTCAGTGATAAGCTAACAAAATGAAACACAGTAGACTGAAGAGACTATTCAGCTGAAAAGCCTGTCTGCAGAAATAAGTTTTGTATTATTCACATTCATTAAAGTGCACTTCAGTCACGCTGTTTTGACATTTTTTGCTTTGTGTCTTTTCAAAGCAGCCAAAGCTTTCTTCCCTTCCCCAAATACTTGTTTGATTATACAACACAGCAGAAGTGATCCTAGCTTTTAGAGGTGATCACTTCTGCCATCAAGGAACTTAACCACAGTTATGTTCAAACCCACAAGTGGCCCAGTTCAGAGCCTGAGCAAACAATACAACTGCAGGGCTTGTATTGACCAGAAGGGAGTGACTGCTTGCTCCTGCTCAGTTACCATGACTTGGATTCCCTGATTCTGGCCATGCATGTACTTTAGACTAATAATTACAACAGACTTCTTTCGGGTCAACCCATGAAAATTTCATTAAATAAATGGAAAAATCTTCAGTGGGATCAGGATATTTGACACAATGAACAAACCTAGTAAATCACAGAAGGGAGCCAGCTAAGATTGCTTAGGAATGACTTTAGGCAGAACCAGTGCTGCAAAACAGAAACAGAAAATACAGAGATTTATGTACTTCCTCATTTCATATGGTTCCACATCCATTGTTTGAGGAAAGCAGCTTTTTCTGTGGAACACGGGAAAAAAACAAACAAAAAAAAATTGCTGGCAACCCTAGCTATGAATTTTTACCAATGCCATATGTCTTATCCATCTATGCCCTCATAAAAGACATTTTTATTGTCCCAAGCACAAATCAGTTGTCACCAGAGAAACATGAAAATCTCATTTTCACTGACTTACTAGATATCTAACAGCTACTGTGAATATTGCCATATAAGTGAAGCAGGAAATGAAAACAAATTATGGAAAATTTGGGAATTGTAGTAATTCTCCATTGGGTTAAACAAACATCCATTGTAGAAGAGGTTTCAACTTTTCATTTTTCTTACTTTCCATTTGGAAATTTTTGAAATTTGAATTGTTTTTACTGAAAGTGTTTTAAAACTGAAAAACCCAGCAAAATTCTGCTGTTTGTCATTTGATCTAACAAAGGTAAGGCCAATAAAATGAAAAGCCATTTCAAAGAAGGACAGTCATTTAAAGAAGATAATCAGAATAGCTGAAATATTCCTTTTTGTTAAAAAGCACCATTAATCAATCTGACATTTTCTACCAGCAAACAATACGGCACAGAATGAAGTCACAAGCACACATGTTCATCATCAAAATGATGGAGTGGTGCAAAAATGCTTATAGAAGACTGTGCATAATCTAGCAACATAAAATCCCTCTATGTTCAAATATATTGAAGCCCAAAAAGGCATTTCCTTCCACTTTCACCCAATTATGACTCTAACAATACTAGCATTTTCATGTTCTGTGGGTTGCATTTACACACTGCTCCTTTGGGTTTTTTCTTTCAGTTGTCACCATGTGTTTATGACATATCTACCTTAAGATAGTTACCTTATATGGCAGGAATTTTTATTACCCTCCAGTAAATAAATCAGCTGAGGTTAAATCCACTGACACCAGTAATGGAGCTGCATTTTGCTCAGAAATATGTAAACAGATCCAATGTTTGTCCAATCAGACTCAAACAAAACACAACAAAGGTATTTGCCCTTACTTTGAAGGTACCACGAACATTAACAGCACCAGCCTCAGCTCACTTGATGACCATCACAAGGCCATGGGAGTGTGGTTCCAGTTTGTCAATATCCAGCTGAAAATCCACATCGGGACATTTCTCTGCTTCCATCTGCTCATTCCCACTCTCAAACCTGCAGCACACAAACTACACAAGCATTTTTGAAAATGCTTCTTGTTTTGCTTTGTTTTGATTGCGTGACCGACCTGAAAATCCTGACCTCTAATAGGACGGGTGAAATGTCAGTAAACTGGGACATGGGGCAATAACTTCTTATATAGCTTTACAGTATTATCACTTTAGAGGATATCTCTGAATACAGAAGTTTTGTTATGGTGACACAAGCTGGACATTATTCCATTCCGCATAGAAAAATGGAGCATTAAGATATCTGAGGAGATATTCTGTAATCATATTTCAATTTTGTGTTCATTCTTCCTAAAGTGACTTCAACCAAATCCTCATGACCTCAAAAGAATTTCTACAAGACTTGCTAATTGTTAGTATTCAAAATTATCAAAGTAGACCCCCTACCCAATTTCATTTTCCATAGCTGGGATTAATTCAGATCTATGGGATTATGAAACAGGGTAGAGTATATTTTTCACTGAATGTAGCCTGAAGTTATTGGCTTTTCCACAACAAAACTTTCTGGCATCTCATATAATTAAATGGAAAATGTGAGAAACTTCAAATCAGTAAATCAGTATATTAGGGGAACTAACAGGATTTGAACATGACTCATGCATTACAGTTTGAACTTCTTGATTGTTGTCTTAACTGTCAGATTTTTTTGAGGCAGAAAAGAAATTAACACCATAAAATTCTTTTAATAACAGCTTTTTCTGAAGAAATACCCTGGGAAAGTTTAGTATGGTGTGAAAATTACATTATTATCTCTTAAAACACACAATGGAAGCACTTGGTAAAAATCACAAGAAGATTGATAACAAAAACATAGTTAATGTAACTTCATAGCAATAAACGTAATAGTACAGATTGATTCTGCAGATTTATAGCAACAATAACCTCACTTGTTTGTCATGTGTTAAAAAACACTTCATGGTGACAAACACCGTGGTTTCTCTCTGTGTGTATACATCCATGGGCATGTGAAAAGCATCTGAATAAATGTGGGTGTGCACATTTGTGCACTAGTAACAAAATCATCCACCATGCACCCAATTTACTGTGCTGGCAGTGACAGGGGCAGCAGCTATGCATAGTCACTGACAGCATGGCACAGCATGACAGTGTATAATACCTTACATCACAGAAGTTATTCCCTAGTCTTAGGAAGCCAGGAAAAGTTTGTGAGGTGCATAAACCATGTATACCCTGGTGGCGTATGCAACAGCTCTTCACAGAAGATTCTACATGAGCTACAAATTTTGAAAATATAAACTCTACTGGTAATTTTGTCATATTTCATTAGCAATGATAATTATAGATTCAGCTTTCAGACAAGAAAAAGTTACTATATTTGAAGATACTGAGATAAAAAATTTAAAATAAACAACAATGAACGATAGTCCTCATTGTACTCTGTTAGTGACATTGTATCCTGTTAGTGACAGCCTAACAGGAACAATTACACTTTTTTATTCAAATCCTTAATGGTCCATCATACCATATCTATATACATAAAAGACACAAAATCAAGTCCATCCTGGAGAAAGGTAATGCTCATTTTCATACCCATTTCTGTCAACAAAGTTATTGTGCTCTGTAAGCCACAACTGCTTTGGGTCTTGGTTTGCATAGCATTGATAAAACATGGTTTTGGTGCTTTAAAATACTGGCACAATTTAAACACTACTTTTGTTCAAACAAGAGGAGAGTTAAAAAGTCATGCTGGTTGCGGGTGACCCCCTCAGATCAGGAAAGAGTGCAGTAAAGACATTCCTCTTAAAGAAAACCACTACAGTGGTTTTCTTTTCTAATCGCTAGAAAATGCTGAAATTTCTGCTACTCCTAGGAAACAGCAAATCAAGAAACAGCTGAAAATGAAAATTTGTAGTCTCGTATTAAAACTTCAACGCTGTGCAGATCGACAGCTTTCACTTGAATATTCAGTTATGCACCTGGGTTCAGTTTAAACAACAATAAATCCCCCAACCTTTCAAGGTTTAGGAATTTAAAAGCCAGAATTACTTCTGGCCCTTAAAAGACTGATAAAGCACCAAAATTAGTCACAAAAAAAAACACCTCCATCACTGCAATGTGGTTGTTTCCCTAATCCATGAGCCACTATTGGACTCTAAATTGACCCACAGTCACTTGTAGGGAGGTCCATTGTCATGCTCCACAAAAACAGCAAGAAAAAACAAAGCATGGCACTGCTGTGTTCTGCTGCAGACCAGGGAGATGTATAACCCCAATCTATGGCATGAAATCAGGGACAGAAAAGATGGGGGTCCTCTACCTTACAGCTGCACACAACAACCTGATCACAAGGTTAGTAATAACAGCAAGTAGTGGGCTCTGCTTTGGGCTCCAGCTCATTATGTAAACGTCTCTAAATGTATTACTAAAATAGGCAAAATGTTCTACTTCACTGTTTGTGAAGCAGAAAAGATAATATAGAGATACTGAAATCCCTGAAACCATCCTCCAAGTCAGGAAGAGCCAGGGTGATACAGGAGAAAAATTAAATGGCTGCTGAAGCCAGATACTTTGAGCAGTTGTCAGACTGAGCCCTACAAATATGCTGGGAAATTAACATTCCCACTAGTGTCACTTGTAAAATTCCACTGCTGTTTGATAACATCTCTAAAAATTTATAGAACTTCAGGCCATGTGCCTAAAAATAGCATCTATAGCATTGATATTTTTTGCATTAGCTTAGATTAAATATATTACAATTCCACAGAGAGCTCTACATTTGCAATTAGTCTAATTCTTGGAAAGGAAATTTAGTAAGGCTTTCACAAAGCCCAGTAGAAAGATTATGAAGTTAGTGTATTGTAGTACAGCTGCTGACTGGGCTGGGAATAAAAAACCTGGATAGTAAGATGAGACACTGCATTTCCTTTAAAAATATTGATTATTCTTAATTTTTATTATTTATTACACATAAATAGTAGTGCATGCAGGATGCAGCCATGAGTTACTGCACAAAAATGTAGAGGAAAAAGTGACTCTATCCTAAAGTCACTCCCAGGTGGGTTTTTCAGATGGAAGTTATTGAACACAGGTAACCCAGCACACTGGCCATTGCACCAAGCCCAAGCTAGTGAACTGTGTTGAAAATTAAAAAGAAAAGAGCCTTAATGCAAGCTTGTGTCTTCTAGACAGGGAATTGACAAATCTTGCTTACCCTGAATAACCAAAGCAGGAAAAGCAAGGAAAAAAATTGGAAGTGCCAAGCTGAGTTACTCAAATTCATTCAGCAAGGGAGCAGCA